TCCAAGCTGGGCCTGGACATCGAGATCGCCACCTACAGGCGCCTGCTGGAGGGCGAGGAACACAGGTGGGGCCCATCGCAGCCTGGCCCTGAGCTGCCCATTCCCACCCTTTCCACAAGCACCACCCTTGATCCTGGCTGAGCAATGGCCAGGGATCTGGGACAAACCTATCATTTATCACTTTGGGGTGGGGGGCGGTTTGTGAGGACTATTACTTCTGACCCTCTGCCCCCTCCTTCCTGACCACTTGTGAACCCCACCCCAGGGATTTGTAGAGCTCTGTCGGCAACTCTGGCTCAGTCACTAATGTTGCTTTTTTCCTCTTCCCTCTCAGACTGTGTGAAGGCGTTGGGGCCGTGAATGTCTGTGAGTAACCTAGGCCCTGTGTGGATGAATTTACTCTCTTCCTGTAAGGGATGGAAGGAGGAGTTCCACTGGACCTAAATATAAGAGTGGGCTGGCATCACGGGAGGAGGGATTTGGGTTAGACAAGAAGCAAGGACCACTTCTTTGGGACTAGAGTTGTTAAGTAAAGATGCTTGGAGAGGTGCATCGTCGGGGATGCGGGAGACTTGGCCCCCCAGAATTTTGACTAAGCCTTTGGGGTTCGCAGGTGTCAGCAGCTCCCGGGGCGGGGTCGTCTGCGGGGACCTCTGCGTGTCCGGCTCCCGGCCGATGACTGGCAGCGTCTGCAGCGCCCCCTGCAGCGGGAACCTGGCGGTGAGCACCGGCCTGTGTGCGCCCTGCGGCCCCTGCAGCTCCGTCACGTCTTGCGGCGTGGGCTCCCGCGCCAGCAGCTGCCGCAAATGTTAGGCGCCCCAACTCAGGCCCGGCCCGGGCAACCCTCCCGCGCAGCCCGGCAGGGCCCGCCTTGCCTGGCCCCGCCCCGCCCACCTCTGGGCGGAGCAAGCCCTAGGCTACTTGGCTGGCTCTTTGAAAGGTCCATCCCACTCCTAGCATCTCAAGCCTGTGTGTGATCCCCTCTTCCCGGGCTCTGCCGCCCACCCTGGGAAAGGCTACCCTAGAAAGAAGTCTCTTTGGCCACCACAGGAAGGGGACTCCGGGGCAGGGGGGACCATGATTAGGACCTGGGCTGCTATGAGGCCAATGGCCAACGTTCCCCCTCTGTCCCAGCATCACCCCTTCCTTCTCTGCCGTGTTCCTCTCCTTCTTGATCTGTGTTTCCAATAAATCAATATAGCCAGCCCTGGGCCTTGTCTGCACTTCTGCTATCTTCCTCAGGGGTCGAGGTTTGGGAGGGTCCCCAAAGTCACATGGAGCAGAAAAGCCCTAGATCTGGGGTCTCCACTACAGTCTTTTGTCCCTGGCCTCACAGCACTCTCAGATTTAGCCAAGGATTGTGCTAGGCCACTCCATCCCATAATTTTATCCATACCACCTTCACAATATCTCTTGCAGAGCTCAGGGACCCGCAGTAGCCAGGGCAAGGTCCCACCCTGAGTTCGGTGGCACAGCTGGGGTTTGAACCCCGTGAGCATGTTTAGTGCTCATTTCACTAAATCACAGCTGCCTCCCAGAGAACATATCTGTGCACATCTGTAAACCTATGGGTAGATGCACCAGTCACTCAAAGCTTAAGGAAACATCACTCCTGGCTTTGGTGGGGAAGACTCGAGCCTGAGTAACTTACAAGAATTCTTTAAGGGGTGAATACATGAACATGACTTAAACTTTCAAAAAGCCTTTGATATGGCTGTCTTTTTTTTAATGGAGTCCTTTTGGGGTTTGGAGACCTTCCATCGCTGATAAATTGCCTCAAAGCTAGGAAACATTATGTAGCAAGAAGATGATGTGATGTAGAGGTGAGCACACAGACCCTGGAGCCAAACTGCATGGGTCCAAAACTGAGCTCTGTTCCTAGCTGAGTGACTTCGGGCAATTTACTTACCCTCTCTGTGCCTCAGTTTCTATATGTCTAAAGTGAAAATGAGAAAAAGAGCATTTTTCTTTTACCTCCTAGGGTTGTTGGGAGGATTAAGGAATTTCGTATACATAAAATACTTAGTGCCTGATCAGGGCCACACTTAGTGCCTGATCAGGGCCATGGGTAGCCTCTCATTACACTTATATGATCAGAGATTGCAAGCACAGAAAGAGAACCCCACGTCTTCCAGGCCATCAAGCTCCTTCATGCAGGAAACCATCCCCGCCACACTGATGAAGGTATTATAAGTGCCGGTGGGAGTGGAGAGATGGCCCCTCGGCTTCACTATAGGCCAAGGCAAGTCCCTGAACATACATCTGTACAGCAGAGTGAATCTCTAAACTTCCAGTGCCGGGCCCAGGAAGCTATAGCAGAAATGGAAGTGCCCATCCCCACCTCTAAGTGTGATAGAAATAAATTGATAATATTGAGAGATCAGAAGTGAGCGGTCTGAAAAGACACTGGCTCTTTTAAAAGATAGGATTAATTCCAGGTCTCCTGGCAACCAATGTGTCCCCTCCACCCTCCAATGGAATTCTGAGGACAGAGCCCTCAGAGAGTTCCAGAATATGCAACTGTTCTAACCAGCCCTCTGTGCCGTGACACCACACAGCTCAGAAGCAGGCCCTGTCTGGAGTCCAGACCTGAGGCCCCAGCACCGGCTCTATCCCTCCATCCCTCCCCAGTTCAGAAGCCACCAGTCCTGAGGGACTTCTCATGTCTGTCAACTGACCCCTCCCTCTGCATCTCACTAGCCTCGTCAGCCCAGCTGGACCTTGATAACCTGTCGTACTTCACTCTCTCACCCTCCCTCTGGCTCTGACCTTCTGTTTCCTACTCCAGTTCCACAATCTTCCCCTTCACAGATCTAGGTTCCCACTCCTGGACAGTTCAGGCAGAGGAGCGAGGGTGAATGAATCACATACATATTGCCCATGATACAGAACGGTGAAGAAAATGAAACACCTTGCTGTGTGACATTTAGCAAGTCACCTCCCCTTTCTGGGCACTAGTGAAAAAAGAATGATTGGACTAGATGACTGCTTAGCCATTTAAAGTTCTATTATTCTTTTTAATTGAAGTATAGTTGATTTACAATGTTGTGTTAGTTGCAGGTGTACAGCAAAGTGATTCAGTTTATATATAATATATATACATTCTTTCTCAGATTATTTTCCATTATAGGTTATCACAAGATATCAAATATAGTTCCCTGTGCTATACAGTAGGACCTGTTGTTTATTTTATATATAGTAGTTTGTATCTGCTAAACCCAAACTCCTAACTTACCCCTCCTCTCACCTTTCCCCTCTGGTAACCATATGTTTGCTTTCTATGTCTGTGAGTCTGTTTCTCTTTCATAGATAAGTTCATTTGTGTCATAGTTTAGATTCCACATATAAGTGCTATCATGTGATATTTCTCTTTCTCTGTCTGACTTACTTCACCCAATATGATAATCTCTAGGTCCATCCATGTTCCTGAAAATGACATTATTTCATTTTTTGATGGCTGAGTAATATTCCATTGTGTGTGTGTATATATACATATACATATATATATATATCTATATACCACATCTTCTTTATCCATTCATCTGTCGATGGACATTTAGGTTGCTTCCATGTCTTGCCTATTGTAAGTAGTGAAAGCTCTATTATTCTTTAGGAGATGTGGGAAAGGGTGAGAAGCTAGAGGGAAGTAGGGAACCAGGTGCCATGCACTGTGCTGTGTGCATGCTGTGTCTTCATCCCGCACAGCTCACTGTCTATAGGCTGCTGTCTGTGAGTGGAACAGAATGATTGCAACCAGGTACACGCACGTGTCTGGGCATCTGTGGGGAAACATGTACATTTGTGTGTAACTGTGAGGGTTCCTATATGTGTGATGATGTCTGTGAATGTGTGTATACCTGTATATATGCGCTGAAGAGAGGACTTTTGTGGGTACATGTGAGTGCACAAGTGGACTCGTGTTGGTGAGATGGGGTCACAGAGGGAGAACTGGGTATGGTGGGAGTGGTGATGGGAAGGTGCTGCTGGGTGTTATCCTGAGGAGGTGACCTCTGACTAGGGAACCCCAACTCTAACCCTTGGGCTCCCCTATGTACCCCTCCTGCCCTGCAATTACTGTAGCGCCAGCCAGGGCAGAGGGGGATCGGCTGGCCTTCTTGAAGTTGGAGAGCCTTCTTTAAAGGTGCTCAAAACCCTTCCCAAGAACTCCAGTAAGTGAAATATTAATTACATTTATATTGGTACAATTCTTACTATGTTTTCAGCACTTTACATATAGTAATATATTTAATTCTGAAACTATGCTATGATAGGTACTATTCTTGTTTTACAGATAAACTGTGGAGCAGAGAGGTTAATTAGGGAGGAAAAATAAAAGAGATAAATGAACCTTCACTAGTTAGGTCTGGGGGGGGCAGGACTGAGGCCCAGAAACAGGTGAAAAGTAACAGCAAGATTGGGAACAGAATCTGGGCCCTTTCTTCTTATTCCAGACTGGACTGGTCAATATATTGCCGCTAGAATCACATCAGGAAGGACTGCATTTAGACTCATCAAGAGACTCCCAAAGAGGGTCTCGTGAAACACGTTAATAGTGGAAGAACAGAGCCCAATTCATCCAAGGACAGAGCAGACCAAACAGGACCACAGAGCCTCAGCTCGTTCATATCTACTACGTGGCAGGCTCTGGAGACAGATAGATGAGAAAGGTCACGTGCTCGAGGGGCTTGAATAGAGATGCGAGCACAGCGAAGTCACATGCAGCGCTTTAAGTGCTGCTATCAAGTGTGAGGCAGGCGTGGGGAGCCGATAGGGGCTGATCCCTCGGGATCCCCTTCTGCTGAGAAGCAAATGGTGACAACCGTCCTCCCTTCAGAAGTCACTCCAACGCACAAAGCTTGTAAGTGGGTGAGGACTGGCTCTCCATAAATGCCCCAGGCTGGAATATGGCCCGTGGCCTGGGGAGCCACTCAGAAAAGTGGTTCCCTAACCACAAGCATTGCTGGTGGCCCATGTCGCCCTGGCCCAGCAAGTGACTAAAACCTGACCTCATGGCCCTTGGGATCTCCCGGCCTGACATCAGGCTTAGGATTTGGAAAGAAAACCTGTGGTCCACAACCAGTCCTCGGTGATGCTGGATGCAGGATGCTCACCATCAATCCTGCCTACAGCTCCTGGTTGGGGAAGGGCGGCATTTCCTTCTGCACATCCCACAAAGTTCCTCTGTTGACATGATCAGCACAGCAGGAGCTAGAAAAACTTGACCTTGAATATCAGAGAATCTCATTACCTCCTAGCAAAATGCAGGGAATAAGGAGTCCAGCTGAAAAATCTTGCGGAGGAGTGGCTCTGCCTTCAGGCAGCTCCTTTGCATTGGGAGTCTTGGTAAGAATGTTTATACAATTGGTGTCAGTCAGAAAGGCTCGAAAGGGTCTGATGCATGAGTCCAATGGGGCCATGTTCCCTACCCCTCAGGTGGATGACAGCCTGCCAGCCAAGTTCTGGTCCCATTCCTCTTGCATGAGACTGCTCTGTTTATCCAGCAAGGGGGGCTTTTGGGGTACCTATTCTCTGGGCTTAGACCCAAGAGAACACAGCAGACACTCTGGCACTAGTGAACCTTAAAAGGTAAAGCCGGGGCCTCTGGTTAATTATGCACCTTAGCCCCACCCAGGGACACAGAAAGCAGGGACCATTGTTCCCCAGATGCATTGGTGATGTAATCCTTTGTGCAACAGAAAAGAATGTGAGCTCGCTGAATGGAAGCTTCTCTCAGGCCTATGTGGCAAAGAAAGAGCCCAGAAACCCAGCCTTTCTCTGCACAAACTGGCTTACCTTCTGCCCCCCCCCCCCACCAAAGTTGCCTTGTGAGAACTCAGACCAAACTACACCATGGATCTGGAAGCAGAAGCAAAGCTGGAGTCTCTGATACCAAAGCCCATGTTTTCCTCCACCGCGGTATGTTGTTCCCAGCCCACAGTCAGATCACTTGTTCAACTGAAACCTGGGCCACCCAATTGTGTCTATGTCCTCCAGCCCCAGTCTGCCAGGGCCATCTTCCCCAGGGCCTGCCTTCAAGCACCCCTGCCAGGGCAGTGGAAGGAGGTCCACCTTCATCCCTGTCTCACGGTATGTCTTTCTGGTCCATTTCCTGGTTTTGCCTGCCTCACCACCAGACCGTCATCTCCAGAGGCCCAGCACTAGAGTGTCTTGCCCACCAAGCGCTATGCCTGACCCTCAGAGGCCATTTTGCGCTTGTAGAGTGAGTGAGTGGATGAATGAATGCAGTTCTCAGCAACTCTGCCAAGGACGGCTGCCTGTGGACCCCAGGCTAGGACTAGGTCCACCATCATGCATGAATTAACCCCTTCTTTCCCTTTCACCAGAGACCCTCTGACACACACACACACACACACACACACACACACTCTCACCAACCTTTAAGATCCTGGTTCTATGATACCACCATCATCTGAAGTCACGTGGACCCACACACCAAAGGGTTCCCCCTTTTCTTTCCCCTCCCCCAAATCCGGTCAGCTTTGTCTTTGCTCTGGGGATAAATAGCCTGCGGAATCTAGGCACAAACAGCCGGAAGGCTGCATTCGCTGCATAACTTTTTATTGCAAAGGAGGAGTCCCAGGAAAAGAGTAGGTGGGGCAGTTCAGAGAGGTGGGGCGCTGGGTCCAGATAAGCCAAACGCCTTGCCTCCCAGTGGCACAGCGTCCAGCCTGTCCCCACCCTGGGAATGGGTCTGTCATGGTCCAGTAAACTACATTCCAAGACTTTACACTCTAAGGTGGGGGGCAAGAGAGAAAGGTGAGGCAAGGGCCAGAACCGTGGGAGGGGGCGTCTGAGACACAGCGCCAAGTCACTGGGGTGGAAGCTAGGGTTCCTTGACTTCTCCTGAGCAGGACAGGAAGGGTTCAGCATCCGCGGGAGCCGCTGCCGCTGAAGCCCACGACCCCGCCGGGGGAGCCGCAGGGCGCGCACCCGCCGCCAGGGGCGCTCGTCTCCAGGGCGCCGGGGCCAGCTCCAGACGGCAGCTGGACCGAGAGGCCCGAGGTTGAGACCAGCCCGCAGGTGTTGAGAGCGGCTGTTGGAGGAGGAAACCCCTTCTTCTCTCCTGCTCGCGCCGCCCCCCGAAGACAGACATACAGATGCACAGACAACCCCCCTCCCCCAGGAGACAGACGTGCAGTGCAAACTCCCCAGTGTTAGAGACACAGACCGCATCCCTCAGAACCAAACTCGGGAATCCCCCCGACCCTGAAGTCAGACACGGATTCTCCCCACACGAGAATAAAACAGTCTCCTCCACGGGGAAAAACACACAGAACTTCTTCCCACACCCCAGGACACACCAAGAGATCCTCTCCGCAAAGAACAGAACACAGAACGCCCTCCCCCAACACACACAAACACAAAAAAAACCACTACGAGAGGGAACAGCCCCCCACAAAAGGGAGACACACAGAGGCAGCAGGCCCCTTCTCCTTTCCCAAGAGGATACACACAGAGCAGGTGGGGGGGGGAGTTAAGATTTGACCCCTGTAACCCAAGTTACTCTATTATTTACTTACTGATGTTCCCTGCCCCAAATCCCAGACCAAGCCTGCAGGGAGAAAGAGGAAGCAGGTGAGTGAATCCATATACCAGGGAGAATATTCTCCATTCTTCACGACAAAGCACTCCTGGCCCTCTCCAGACAGGCAAAAATCCTTCCATCCTGCAAGCTGCTTGGTTCTCTCAGATCCCCTCAGCCCTTTTGAGTAAAGACTCCTTCTGGGCCTTTAAACTCAACCCTTCTTGCGTTAAAGTCAAATAATTCACTTTTATTGATGAGTTCTTAGAGAAGGGAGAAGGCAGAAGATCTACACTGTCTTTGGCCTAAACTTATCTTGAAATTAGAAACCATGTGGGGGGCACTTTGAAGGAGACCGCAGAGGAGATAGGTCAATTGTCTGGAGAATATTGTTCAAGCCTCATCCAATCAGCTTCCACCTGTGTGTCCTTGAGGTGGTCTTTTACTCGCTGACACTCAGTTTTCTCATCTGTAAAATCCCTCCCAGGGTTTTGTGGGGTTTAAAGGAGACAATAAATGCAGATTGCCTGTTGCACGGTGCGTTCCCTTTCCTTCCTCTAAGACTGGTGAGCCCAGCTGGAGCTGGCAGCCCTTGGGTCTCTACCTGCCTAAGGTTAAAAAGCCAGGCCCTACCTGTTGCCATAAACCCTGCCTCCCCCAGGCCTGGAGGAGAGGTGGGCAGAGTTGAGGAGAAGGCACCCCACACTGGGGACTTTACTCCCCCTGGCTGGGCCTTGGTCCCTGCAGCTGTCTCGATAGACAAACTGGCCCCTGCTTTCTGATCCCGGGGGGTCAATGAATTGCCCATCACAGGTGCCAAGGGTGCTCGTTAGCTGGGACCTTTTGTCTAAAGGGCTATAAGATGGAGGGAAAAAACTGGCTCCAGGAGAACAGATCCCTGGATACCCAGCTCACCTCTCCCCATCCCTCCCAAGCTGACGAGGACCCAGGTGCTGCCCTCCCTATGCCCCTGCACCACCGCATCTCAAGCACCGCCCAGCCCTCACCTCCTCTCCTCGCCTTCCAGCAGCTTGCGGTAGGTGGCGATCTCAAAGTCCAGGCCCAGCTTGAGCATCGTGAGTCCCTGGTACTCCCACAGCTGGCGCACCATGTCCTGCTTGGCCCGCTGCAGGGCGGCCTCCGGCCAGGCCAGCTTGCTCTTAGCGCTTCCTGAGGCACCCTCCTCCTGCAGAGCTGCTGGGTCCTTGCCTCCTCCCTCTGGTTCGCAGGGCTGGGGGTGAAGGGAAGACCACAGACAGGAGGACATCCTTGGCCCCCACCCCTCCCCACTCAAGGATCCAGAACTTTCTCAGCAGCTGGAGGGCCAATGAGGGATTAGAGATCGTTGTGAGGAGTGAGCGTGCCTGTTCTGAACGGTGTATTTGTGTGTCTTCCTCCCTCCCAGGGTGGAGGTTGGGGGCCAGCCGTCTTGATGACTGAGAGCCTTTTGCATCTAGTATAGTGACGCTTCTAAAATGAGCTAGGGTCTGGGAAGCATCAAATGCTTTTTAGCACATAATGCTGCGATTATGGTTTCATCAGGGAAACAAACAGGAAGCATATCCTTTCCTCACAAGAGACTAGAATTTGCAGTCTCTAGGGAAAAATCATAACAATAAAGGTTTGCCTTGGTGAGATGGGCTTGCCGCTTAGAGGACCAGTCAGGAAAACAGAGCAGCTGGGGCTGCTGGGAGACTGACAGCGATGGATCCACTCACCCACCCGCTCTGCCAACGCTTGAACTTGAATAGTTCGTCCTGCCTCAAAGTCATGGGTTCCTAGAGAAGGGATAACCCACACAAATATCCCGCAGAGCCCGAGACACTTGTATCTGCAGAAAACAAGAACACACCGGAGCAGAACCCCTTCCCTCTGCGGGATGGGACATGGGCCGGGGGGCTTGACAGAGAGGGTGACTCAGAGGAAAGAGAAGAGGGTGAGAGGGAGAGAGGCGGGGAGAAAGAGAGCATTCATGTGGGAACCTCTTCTTTCTAAGGCAGAGAGCCTGAGTCACAAACACAAATAATTTCGTTTTCCTGACATCACAAGGACCTCTTTCATGTTTCCAGTCTTTCATTTCTCTGCCTTAGATAGAGACCTAGGTCCAGAGCCTTTTTTTTTTGCCCGCGCCGTGCAACATGTGGGATCTTAGTTCCCCAACCAGGGACTGAACCCATGCCCTCTGCATTGGAAGCACAGAGTCTTAACCACTGGACCGCCAGGGAAGTCCCCAGAGCCTTTTCTCTTTGACAAGGATAACAAGAGTACTAGCCAAGGTGATAATAAATGGCAAAGATCCCTCTGCCTCAGTGTTAAAGGATGCAATTTGGAGTGGTGGGGACCATGGCACACAGAAGGAGCGTGTCCCCCGTGTGAAGATGACAAAGAAGATAGAGGCCTCTATTCTCTCACCAAATGTTACTGTGTGAGATCATAGTTTAATACTGCCAGATCTGCATGTTTTTAGAGAGAACCCAGAAAACTGGGTTTCTAGATAAAATCTTGCCATTTCTGAAGATGGGCTCAAATTGCACGCTGTGTAAGACAAACAAAACATACAGACAGGCCTTCCCTGGTGGCGCAGTGGTTGAGAGTCCGCCCGCCGATGCAGGGGACACAGGTTCGTGCCCCGGTCCGGGAAGATCCCACATGCCGCAGAGTGGCTGGGCCTGTGAGCCATGGCCATTGAGCCTGTGCTCCGCAGCGGGAGAGGCCACAACAGTGAGAGGCCCGCGTACCGCAAAAAAAAAAAAACAAAAAAACATACAGACATAAAAATATACATAAAAAATAATATACAAACAAGCATCCCTAAGCGTAGATATTTACCTACATGTTAATTACTGACCCGCATGAAATACTGAAGGTCCTGGGCAAATGGAAGCGTGATGTACACATACAGCCACAATCCTGTTTGCTCAGACATCCACAAAGAGAAACTTTACCCGTCTATTCCAAAGGATGGGGGGAAGGTCTAGTCTAGTTGTCCTAAATAGTCAATGCCCTTCCACCATCACCACCCAGCTGCCCCCACTCCAACCCCTCACCTGGCTCTTGGTGCCGTCCACCTCCACTGTCAGCCACTGGATGGCCTGGTTAAGCCTGTTCAGCTCTCCCTTGCTGTGGCGCAAGCTCTGCCTGTGTTTCTGCACCGTTATCTTTATCTCCTCACACTGTGGAGTCGGGGCAGCCAAGCGTGGGAGAGGATCAGGGAGGTGAGGAGAGCAGCAAGGGTACTCGACTGAGGCCAGGAAGACCGATCATTTAACTCCTCTAGGCCTCCGCCTCTCCGTCTGTAAGATGGGGATGATCATCTTTCCTAACCCCAAAGGTTGCTGAGAGAATGAAATGCACTTGGCTGGCACAGTGGTGGGTGAGCCACCAGGCCTGGAGGTGCCAAAGGTAGCGTGAACTCAGCCACAAAGGGCAACAACGCAGGGCGGCAGTCTGTTGAGTCTTTGAACTGAGATCACACAGGGTTGATCCCAGGAATAAGGGTAGTTAACTCTAGGAGATCAATTATCGTCCTTCGCTACATAGGATCATCTAAATGAATACAAAAGGCGTTTAATAAAACTCAACAATAATTTCTAATTTTAAAAATACTTTTTAAAAGCTAAGAATATGAGGAAACTTCCCTAACTTGGTGAAGGTTATTAACCAGTGACAGGAGATCCAGATTCCAGCTCCTTCCCCAAACCCAAGGCCACTCTGGGACAACACTATGGGACTACAAGGGACAAAATCAGTGGGCCTTTTCCCTTCCTGCATCCTGTCTGCACACTCCAACACATAACCAGCCGGGCACAGGGACCGACGCTTTCACGATGCCTCCACCACCTCACTGGGGCTCATGACCACCTGTAAAGTAGGCCAGGTAGATGTTACTCTCTCCATTATCTTTCCTTGGGCAAAAGCTGATGCTCATCCACTGTGCAAGGCAGAGGGACCCAGAGGGACATGAGTGACCCTGCCGGTCAATGGCTAAGCCAGGCTTCATCTTAAGCGCATGCATTTTGCTCCATACCCTGAGGGACAGATAAAGTCACACACACCCTTCAACCCAGAGAATAGGAACTGTTCACGCCAGCCCACTGCAAATTTCCTTCCAAGGCAGATGGGGTGGGGGGGAATGGATATAAAGAGACTGCAAAACTCCATCTCCCACCGATCTCTGCCCTATTCCTACTGCCTACACGTTCCCGCTCTCATTCCCAAAAGACGAAGACACAGCAGACAAGCTTGTGCCCGGCTGGGTCCAACAGATCTGGAGTCCAAGACACCTCATCCTGTGTGAGCTAATGAGCCGTGTGGACAAGTCTCACCATGATGAACAGAGCTGTCACCTCCTCCAAGCCTTTCCTGGGCACCGAAGCTCAGCTCTAGCCCAAAGAGCTTCCAGAATGCTCACCTCTCCTTCCTGGGGGCTTTGTGACCTCATCTTGTTACAACTGCAGAGTTCTGACGGGGGTGTGGAAGCAGAAATCCTGTGAACCCAGATGGGAACGTGGTGGTCTCTGGGCTGGAAAGGGACTTGAAGGAAAGAGGGGGAGGGGGAGGGGGAGGGGGAAGGAAATGTACTTCAAGTGGGGGAAACGTGTGGAGCTGAGGACTTCAGGCTTACGGAGTGGGCAATGGGAGCCACAGAAGGTGCTTGAGCAGGTCAGCAGCATGGTGTGTGATGCAATTTGGAAGGCCTGTCTGGCAGCAGCATGGAAGACAGATAGGAGGGAGAGGGGCTGAGGCTGGGGATTCCGTTTCCACGACTAGGCAAGAAATCTGGGGTAAGACAAGGCTCTAAACTGAAGGAGTGACAGGGATCAGAGGACACAAGTTGATCGGCATTTTCTTTTGTTTTATAAATTTCTCATACATGCAAGAGTATATACAACATACGTTTAATGATTTAAATAGCAACAGTAATAAAAACAAACCCTTGTGTGCCCAGCAGTGCCTTCAGAGCCCCCTGTGGGACCCTTCCTGAGCAAAGCAGCCTCCCCCTCTGACCCCATCCAATCTCCAAGGTAACCACTATCTTGGGTTTTTGTGTTAAGCACTCCTTTGATTTTCTTTATTGTTGCATCATATGAGTATGAATCCCTAAGCAATTGTTTAGTTTTGCCTGCCTTTAAGCTTTCTATAAATAGAATTACATGTTCGCTCCTATGACTTGCTTTTCCCCCCTCAACATTCTATTTGTGAGATTCATCCATTTTGATGCATGTGGCTTTCTTTATTTTTCAGTGCTGTAGAGTATTCCAGTGTATTATTATTCTCCATTCTCCTAGGGGTATACATACGGGTGCTTTTTTTTTTTTTTTTTTTTGGTTATAACAAACAATGCTGCCCTGAACTTTGGGGTACATATTTGCTGGTGTACTTTGGCAAGAGGTTCTTCAGGGTACTGGCTGTCAAACTTTTTTTGTAACCACAACTCAAAATAAGGAATATATTTTATAGGGCTTCCCTGGTGGCATAGTGGTTGAGAGTCCGCCTGCCGATGCAGGGGACACAGGTTCGTGCCCCGGTCCGGGAAGATCCCACATGCCGCGGAGCGGCTGGGCCCGTGAGTCATGGCCACCGAGCCTGCGCGTCTGGAGCCTGTGCTCCGCAACGGGAGAGGCCACAGCAGTGAGAGGCCCGCGTACTGCAAAAAAAAAAAGAAAAACCAGCCATTTACACCAGATCCTAAGTTTCATGATAGTGCAAGCTGTGCATTCTAGAGCGATCATCCTAGTGGGTACCAGAGGAAATGCCTGGAAACCTCAGCACCCCCTCCCTTACCCAGACCTGCTTCTGACCCCTTGAACTGAGTAAAGGACTTCAATACCATGGCACCAGGCACTGGAACGAGCAGCTAAGGAGGGCCCAGGGAGTGTGCCCAGCCTGATGGGGTGCCCCTCCCTGGTGGGGAGAGCTCTGTGCTGTCTCCCCAGCGAGACTCCTTTGCCACCCTCTCCCTTTAGGTTGTGGACTGCGGCCACCTGCAAAAGTCAGACCTGGAGGCCAATGCGGAGGCCCTGACCCAGGAGATCGACTTCCTACAGCAGCTGTCTAAAGAGGTGAGGGGCCACAGAGCAGTGGGGCAGCGAGGAGGATGGTATTTGGACATTGGAAAGGACTTTCCACCATTTGGCTTCTGAAACCCCTGGTAAGGGGAGCACAGGGCAGAGTTGAGGGACCCGAGGCAGGTTTACTGTCAGAAGATGAAAAAGTATAGCTTCTTGTCTTATCTGCCAAACCCAAACAAGCTGTTGTTCCTGGTTACTGTGGTGATAATTATCACAAATTGTATATTCACAAATTGTTCACAATTCACAAATTGTTGATTCACAAATCAACACAAATTGTAAGTTGCTGCCTGATTTCAGAGGCCCTGACTGAAATCAGGCAGCAAGCCTCAGAGCTGGGCTCCTCTCAGCCTTGGGACTTTGGTCCTGAGGAGCACTGAGAGGTTCCAGGGTTGAAGGGGAGATGTCACCTTTGTATTGGGGCTTCAGACAGTGAGGCTGTGGAAGAAGCAAGGGCAGGGGACAGGGAAGGACCATGAGAAAGAGGGCTTCGGGGAGTGGGACTATGGTCCAGGAAGCTCTTATCACTCCTCCACTTCCCCGCAGGAGTCCAGTCCTCCACGCCCACATCTCAGGCACCTCAGTCATAGTCAAGGTGGACAACAGCCGGGACCTGAACATGGACTGCATTGTCGCCGAGATCAAGGCTCAGTACGATGACATGGCCAGCCGTAGCTGGGCTGAGGCTGAGTCCTGGTAACCGCAGCAAGGTGAGTGGTCCAGCGCCCCCTTCCCAGAACAGGGATGCTAAAAGCTGAAAGTATTAGCAGGAGGGATGCTAAAAGGGCTTTGGCCTTTATCTAGGTGGGATGGGTAAGAGAAGGGCAGGCAGCTCTCAGGATGGGGTGGCCGATGTGCAAACTGTGGGGCTCAATGGGATGGCATATCCTGTGTCCCATGAGCATCTGTGCTTCCCCCCAGTGCGAGGAGATCAAGGCCACGGTGATCCAGCCTGGGGAGACCCTGCGCTACACCAAGGAGGAGATCAACGAGCAGGGGGATTTAAGTCAGACACCTGGCCAAAGTGTGGGAGAAAAAGCAACATCAAACTTCAGGCAAGTCTTCTCCACGGAGAATGCTCTCCGTCCCCGCTGAATGGGGGGCGCAGGGGGAGGGCTATGGAGGGGAACGGAATGACCAGGGCTCTCATGGTCCCAGGGGCAGAATGGGGCAGAGGAAATAGCACCAGTCTGAGAGGTAGGAAACCTGGGCTCTCAAACCAGCCCTGCCACTAGCTCACCATGTGATTTGGGGGAAGCCATTTCACCTCTCTGGCCCATTGCTCTAGATCACTGACCACACACTTAGATGTCCCCAGAGGTTAGTAAGTGAGTGAAGCAGGCTGTACCGAAGGCACTAGAGTGTGGTGAACTGGAAAACAAAACAAACGGGGAGAGCTGATCAGATCCAACTGAGGCAGGCCCTACAGAAATGCAGGTACAGTGTGGCCGGATCCTCTGGTTTTTCAAGAGAAGCCAGGAATTTGGATTTTTACATTAAATTTCAAAACTTAAGGACACTGTGCCAACATTCCCCGAGAGCACTAATTTGCAACCCCTGACCTAACAAACGAGCAAGGCCCCTTCTTCCTCTGATAGTCAATGGTCAGTGGATACCTGGTCTCTTACCCTAAATCCAGAAGAAGGAGCCTTAACAACCCTCCCCTGTCCCCCAGAACTCCAAGCTGGAGGCTGCCGTGCCCGAGGCGGAGCAGCAGGGTGAGGCGGCCCTTAATGATGCCCGCTGCAAGCTGGCCGGGCTGGAGGAGGCCCTGCAGAAGGCCAAGCAGGACATGGCCTGCCTGCTCAAGGAGTACCAGGAGGTGATGAACTCCAAGCTGGGCCTGGACATCGAGATCGCCACCTACAGGCGCCTGCTGGAGGGCGAGGGGCAGGGGTGAGGACCACATCTGTGGGGATGATGTCTCTTCATCCTCCAAGCTGTGCTTAGAGCTAGGAGCATGTTTGCATATTATTTGCATCTAATTTGCATCATGATTGCTTGGAGGAGGGAATTTGCAAGTTCTGCTCCCCCCAAATAATTTTTGACTCTTTTCTCTCCCCACAAGGTTGTTTAAGGGCATTGGTGCTGTAAATGTCTGTAAGTTATCTATACTGTGGGTTCTGAAATAAGAGCTTGGGGCTCCTGGTGGTCAGTCTTTTTCTTAAAGGGCCAAATAGTAAATATTTTAGGCTTGCGGGTCATGCAGTCTCTGCTCAACTGCTTAGCTTGTTGTAATGTGAAAGCAGCCACAGCCATAGCAATACTTCAGGAATAGGTGTGGCTGGGTTCCAATAAAATTTTATTTACAAAAACAGGAGGCGGGGGCCGGGGGGGGACGGGGGCACAGTTTAAGACCCTGAAAGGAAGGAGGGGGATGTGGCAGTGAATTATTATGATAACTTAAATAGCTATTTCAGCCTATAGGGAGGGCCTGGGCTAACAGTTTATCAAGGATGCTTGAGGTTAGACTACTGGAAGAAGTGCCCAGGTGTGAGGTTGTTTGAGGGGGAAGGGGGAATAGAAATAGAGGGAAGGAGCTCTGAGCAAGAGAAGAGGGGGTGGGGGGACTCTGGCCCTTAGGCAGGAGCCGCTGGTGACGACCTTGCGAGGCGACTCAGCCCTGTTCTCTCCCCTCCCCGGCCCCCGCAGGTGTCAGCAGCTCCCGGGGCGGGGTCGTCTGCGTGGACCTCTGCGTGTCCGGCTCCCGGCCGGCGACGGGCAGCGTCTGCAGCGCCCGCTGCAGCGGGAACCTGGGGGTGAGCACTGGCGTGTGCTCGCCCTGCGGCCAAAGCGGTGGTGGCAGCCACCTGGTGCGGTTTGCTTGGCGGCTTCTGCTTCGTAAATACACCGCTCCGCGAGCCAACCGTCCCTGCCTCCGGCGGCGGGTCCCAGAGCTCGGAGAGCCCCTGGGCTTGCGGCGGAAGGGCTGCAGGAGCCAGCTGGCCTGACCTGCCCAATTGCTGCCTTCTCCTGCATCTCTCTCCCCGCTTGTCTCTTCACTTCCTCCAGGGAGGGCGGGCTCCTTGCCCGCAGCTCTGGCAGCTCCCCTCCATCCCCAAGAGTCTAAATGACTGGTTTCCCCCAGCCCTGGGCAAAGAGCCAACCCTGACTGCGGCAGCTCTGGAGGCTTGGACGCCTGTGGCTTCTAATGGACAGATTGGTCCCAGGGCCCGTCCAGTGTGGACCTGCTGCTGCTTCCCCTTCCTCCTAAACCCTCCCACAGTGACTGAGGTTGCATCTCCCAGGGGACAACTTTATGCCCCACCTGACTCCCTCTCTCTCCCAGGAAGGGCTGATTTGCCAGTTGGCTGGTCCACCCCAAACCCAGGCCTAGGGCAGCTAAATGTGTGGTCTTCTCACCACTGAGGAATGTTCTCTGACAGCACAGGGCATTGGCTGGGGCAGGGGGTGGGTGCAAATGGCTCTCCCACGCCCTCAGCAGGAGAGGACTCCAGTGCCCACTTCCTGGCAGAGCCAGAACTTCCAAGGGCTTCTGGGCTTCTTCAGGAGAGGAGCTGGAATCAGGCCCAGCCCTGGGAGGGGTCAAGACCTCACTCTGGATAAGAGTCATGTTCCATAGAGCAGCACCCCCATGTCACCAATGTGCTGTCCCAGTTATCAGGGCAGACCCTGTGCTCTCTCGAGCCCTCCCCTCCCCACCGCCTTCCCCGCCCAGCCTAACGAAGCCAGGACACCAGGTGCTGGGCATGGGCTCAGAAGGCAGCTGCTTTATTGGAAGCTATTCTGACATCATTTTTCAGACTGCCTTGCTGTCTTGGGACCAGGCATGGGACCAGGAATGGAGGTCCTCTTGTGACGATGGGAGGAGAGGGTATGTGTCTCCCCACACCAGAGGCTCAGTTGCGGGTGCGCCTGCCGGGGGCAGATGTGGTCCTAATGGAATAGGCTTTGGGGGCCCCAGGCCCTCCACCACTGGAGAATCTCAGGGCATCGCTGCCCATGGTTCCCCCGAAGGTCAGCCGGCTGCCAGCACCGCCCATGGAACCGACCACAGCTGAGAGAGAAGGGAGGAGGTCTCCATCGGCGTGAGGCCCACTACCCGAGGCCCCTGCCCTCCTGCCATAGCTCCCCGTCTCCCTCCTCCCACCCACCTCCCTTCCCACCAACAGCCAGGGGCCAACCCAGAAGGAGCCTCAGACAGAGGTGAGGGCTGCTCCACACTGGCCCCACCCACCCTGTCCTCGTGCATGGCTTTCCTGGGCTGTTGAGCCTCTCTGGATGGGAGCTGCAGGCCTCTGCTGAAAGCTATTGAAGGGTAGGAGGCTCCCAGCCTCCAGAAGGCCAGGCCTTCAGGCCGATGTGCCATCCAATAGACCCAGCCTAGTCTGGACGGCATAGGTGATGGGCCCGTAGCCAAGGACTTACAGATGTTCACGGCTCCCACTCCAGCTCCGGTCATCCTGGGGCAAAGGAGATACCTGTGAGGGCTGCTCTCTCCTCAGCACTGGAGGAAGCACTCCCACACCCCTCCGTCCAGGCCCCGAGCAGAACTGAGGTTCCTTCCTCTGTCCCCACACATTCAGCCTTCTTTCAGCCTTTTCACTTTGGCCCTCCTGCCTACTGGCTACATGACCTTGGGAATGTCTCAGAGTCTCCATTCCCTCACCTATAATGGGGCCTAACTCAGTACCAACCTCACAGTGTTGTTTGTGAGGGCTAAATAACATAAGTTACCTAAAGCCCTGGGCACACAGGAGTCTGTAAATGGTAGCTGTTCTCGTTGTTTATGTAGATGGCTGCCTCTCTTAACCAGATCATAAAATCCTCAAAGAAGGCTGTATTGATTCCTGCATCTTCAGTCCTTAGCATGAGGTCTGGCACACGGTAATTATTTAATATGTGTTGAAATAATTAGTGAATCGTTGACTGAGTGAATTCAGCTCCAGCCGGGACTGAGGGGGGAAGGAGGAGAGGGGGTTGTTTTAAGCAGGCTGTGAGGCTGAAACAGGTCTTACACTGGAAATTAAAAATCTATCTGAGACAGCTGGTGTTTGCTTTGTGACTCACAGTCCCACTGTCACCAAGCCCTTGGCCTTGGGAATGAGTTTACTCTGCAGGGAGGAGGAGAAGCCTCAATTTAGTGGAGGGAGTGAGGGAAGCCCAGCTGCAGCCCCAAATCCTGGAAGGGGGCAGGGCAAAGGTCAAGGGCAAGAGATGGGGACACTAGAAAGCTTCCAGGCCACTTGTCTGTTGACTGAATGAGTCAATCAAGCCATCAAGGTACTAATGAAGACCCAACTTCATGGACATAGATGTGGAGTTTTTTGTGAAGAATTCCCTGTAAGACTAACCCAACTCAGCTTCATCCCAGGCTGCAGGTGCGTACGCAAATACTTCTGGAGAGAGGGGAAATTTACCTCCTCACCACGCTCAGTCAATACCACGTGACTTAGCCCTCAATTATGTGGTGAGAAGCAGCCTGTCGCCGTGGAAGATGCCTGGACCAGGAATCAACAGAGCTTGACCGCACACTGGCCCTGTCCCCTCAATTAATAAAACTAACCACAATTTCCCCTCTGTACACTAAGGAGTCAATAATACCTGTCTTGCTTACCTGATGTGTTCTGAGGATCAAATAAGCTAAGCTTGCTAATAGACACACACACACACACACACACACACACACACGAAAGCACTATTACTTCAAATTTCTCACTGAGCTTACATCATCTGGTCTTTCCCTCTCGAAAGTCATCTCATCAAGAGCAAAGAAGCAAGCAGCATCTGTACCCTCCCTGCACTTCCCACACCCAGTACCCTGCAGAAGAGGGTACACAGGAAATGCTTGCAAATGGATGAATGTCAAGCCCCAGGCCTCACTGAGCCCCAAAGGATCCCCTTTCCAGATCCTTTGTCTTCACCTGCTCTCCTCGCCCTCCAGCAGCTTGCGGTAGGTGGCGATCTCGATGTCCAGGGCCAGTTTGGTGCTCATGAGCTCCTGGTACTCCCGGAGCTGCCGGGCCATGTCCTGCTTGGCCTTCTGCAGGGCCTCCTCCAGGTCCACCAGCTTGGCCCGTGCATCCTTGACAGCCAGCTCCCCACGCTCCTCGGCCTCGGCGATGGCAGCCTCCAACTTGGCACGCTGTGGGGAGTAGTGGGTCTTTGAGCTGGGGGGGCAGGCCTCACCAGCCACTGCCTTCCTGCTTCCCCATGCTGCAGTGAGCATCTGGGCACCTTGCTTACGGTGGCTTCACTGGCACCAGCCTCCTCGCCCAAGCACCAGGGAATCCCAGGGGTTTCAAACATGGGTTTTGATACCCAATGCGTACCTTCCACTTCTGGCTCTGCCACTTACAAGCCATGTGATCTTGGATGAATCAACCCTTCTAAGCCAAAAGTCTCCTCTTTCCTAAACTAGCAGTCATCACAGTATGTATAGAGAGATATTGCAAGTAACGAAATCATACAAAAGTCTTTGGCACAGTGTCTGGTATACAGTAAGCATTTAATAAATGCTGTCACACTGGTGCCCCCTTGGCAAGGACATGCCACTGCCTCTGAGCCCCCCGACGGTGATAGACACCCCAGCTCCGGGGTCTGGCTCTGCCCTGTTGGGTAAGAGGAGAACCGGATGTGGCAGAAGCTGTGGCATTTGGGAAACCGCCATTCATTATTCTGTGCCTCCCCTCCAGGGCTGGACGCTGGCTTGCCGCACCGGTGACTCACAGCCCTGAATCTGTGCCGGGAGGCAGCTTCCACCCTCACCCTCATGTAAAAAGGCCTGCAGGGCTCCAAGGGGAGGGCATTTCTGGGTAGATCACCCCCACATCCCATCCCCCCGCTCATCTGGAAAGTAGCCACCACCCATCAGCTTCCCTCCCTCCCCACTGCAGACACCTGCCCAGGCTTAGCTGCCTCGAGCACACCCATGCCTTGGTCAGGGCTTGGGGGACCCTTCCTCATCAATACCCCCCACCCCAGCTTCACAGCACCTCCTCCCATCAGTCTGTCATCTGAGACCTGTGCCCTGACTATGTGTCAGGTGCTGGGAAGGGAGGAACGGTGAACCAGACAGACGGGGGCCCCTGCTCTTAAGGCACTTTTAATATCCCAGTGGAGGTAGGGGACAA